GGGGGAGGGAAAGAAAGAAGGGAGGGAGGGAGGGAGGAAGGAAGGAAGGAAAGGAGGAAGTTAGGAGGGAGGGGGAGGGAAGAAGAAAGGAGGAAGGAAGGGAGGAAGAAAAAAGGAAGGGAGGAAGGGAGGAAGGAAGGAAGGAAGGAAGGAAGGAAGGAAAGGAGGAAGTTAGGAGGGAGGGGGGGAAAGAAGGAAAGGAGGAAGGGAGGGAGGGGGAAGGAAGGAAGGAAAGGAGGAAGTTAGGAGGGAGAGGGAGGGAAAGAAGGAAAGGAGGAAGGGAGGGAGGGGGAAGGAAGGAAGGAAGGAAAGGAGGAAGTTAGGAGGGAGGGGGAGGGAAAGAAGGAAGAGAGAGGAAGGAAGGAAGGAAAGGAGGGAGGGAGGAAGGAAGGAAGGAAGGAAAGGAGGGAGGAAGGAAGGAAGGAAGGAAAGGAGGAAGGAAGGAAGGAAGGAAGGAAGGAAAGGAGGAAGTTAGGAGGGTGGGCTTGTGTTTTTTTTTTAAGAAAAAGGAAAAAAAGAAAAAGAAAAAGAAGGTTTTCCTTTTGCAAAAATGAACCAGGGGAAGGGGTGGGGGTGGGGTGATGGGGAGTTAACCATTTTTGGGATCGGATTGGCCCCTGCAAGGTGATCAATGAAAGTCAGGTGGGGCCCTTTCCTGAACTTTGTACCATCCAGATAAGCTGGATGTCAGCTCCCATCGTTCCCGACCGACACGCCTGTCAGTTGCTCCCTTCCCTTTGAAGCTACCCTGGGCTTCCCGTCCTCAAAAGTCCCTGCAGAGAATCTGGTTTTTCGTTCAAACCGAATCCAAGAATTTAACGTCCGCAAGAGAGGCTGGGGCTGTGGGCTTTTTGCATTTTGTGCAGCCCCCTCCCTCTCCAGCCCCCCTGCGGCACCTCGTGTTTTTTGTGACGGCTGCGGTGTCCCCCGGGGTCACGTGATCCACTTTTGCGACCATCGGACAAGGATAGTCAATGGCCAGATTCACTTAACAACCGTGTTCCTAACTTATGAACTTCAGCATTTCACTTCACAACTGTGGCAAGAAAAGTTATAAAATGGGGCAGAACTCACTTAACAACTGTCTCGCTAATCAACAGAAATTGTGGTCGTAACTCGTGGGCTACCTGTGTAAAAGAATAGAAGGCAAGACCCCCCTCGTGGGCCATGTGCAGAGGAGCCGGTGTGGGCTCGTTTGCACATGGGGTGGCGTGTCTGACCCCAGGGGACCCCCCTTCCCCCCCTCCCCCAGCCCTTCCTTCCTTCCTTCCTTCCTTCCTTCTCTCCAGCGGCTGCTACTCCCCCACCCCCCACCCCCTTCGGCTCCTGAGGATTTGGCCAACACGTGTTTTCTCTCCAAAGCGTAATTGCTTCAGAAAACCAGGCCCAGCGCATTCCTGGTGCGTGACTTCACAATGACACACCAGGGGAGTGTGCAAGACAAGCTGCTGCCTCTGGCTTTGGAAGGTGCCGACCGACCGGCATGGCCTTCCCTGCTTTTCCTCCTTCCTCCTGAACCCCAAATCTCGGCTGACCTTCCTCTGAAAGGGGTCTGCTCCCTATCGGTCCCAGAATAACAGTCAGAAGGGGCTTTGGAGGTCTTCTAGACGAACCCCCTGCTCAGGCAGGAGACCCTAGACCTTTTCAGACAAATGGTTGTCCAATTTCTTCTTAAAAACCTCCAGTGATAGAGCACCCACAACTTCTGGTGGCAAGTCGTTCCACTGGTTAATTGTTTTCACTGTTAGGAAATTCCTCCTTAGTTCTAAGTTGCTTCTCTCTTTGAGGAGTTTCCATCCGTTGCTTCTTCTCTTGCCTTTAGGGGCTTTGGAGAATAGGTGGACCCCCTCTTCTTTGGGGCAGCCCCTCAAATGTTGGAAGTGCATGGCTGGCTGAGGAATTCTGGGAGTTGAAGTCCACAAGTCTTAAAGTTGCCAAGTTTGGAGACCCCTGCCCTAGATGAAGGGAGTCTGGCTCTGTTTCCTGGAGAGACCCCAAAAAGGACAGGAGGATGGGGGAAAAATCACGCCTTTCATCCCCCCCCCCGCCCCCCCCACCCCCCCCCCCCCCATTTCTCTCCCCCCCACCTTTCCCCCCCCCCCCAAAAGACTTCAATTCCTCGCTTGGGTTGCTGGTGGTGGATTCTGATCCAACCTTCCTGCCCATCCTCCTCCTCACTGCTTGGAACTGGCTGCTCTAACCACTGCACCCTCGGCCAGCACCGTGCACACCCCGCCCTCTTCCTCGGGCAAGGAAAGGTGAATCGGCCCTTTGTGCTGGGCGGGGAGAGGCTGTGCCAGCCAAGATGCCCTGGCGACGCTCGGCTGGCTGGCAAATCGCGGCTTTTCCCAGCTCGCCACAAAGAGCCTGTTCTCTGCCCGGTTTGGCATCTGGGGAGGGAGGGAGGGAGGGAGGGGCTGCCTGCCCACCCCCCACCCCCAGTCAGACTCCATTGCACCTTTCCTTTCCCAGAACCCCCCTCAGGAGGGAGGGAGAAAGGCAGAAAGGCAGCCTCCCCTCTGCAGTTTCTGTGGCTTCGCTTTCAGGCACGCTCGGTTTTCAAAGCGTCTCTGTGCGTTGCACAAGCGAGAGGGAAGGATTGGGCTGTGCATTCCCTCCTCATCTGGATCACATTTGTTTTCCTTTCCTCCGAGACGGCTGGGAACTCCTCCTGCCCGGCTGGTGCAGGGCCTGAGCTGGCAAAATATCACTTTGAATGGCAAGGGGGGGGCAGGGTCAGCTTCTCCAACCAGGGGCCCAGGGGGTCCCACCCCCAAGACATTCAGGGGGTTGCAGGCCAAAGGCAAAGAGCTCTTTTTGAATTGCTCCTCCGCCATGTCTCTTTCCTCACTGCAGTTTACCTGCAGGGGTCCCCTTTGATTTTATTCATCCATTTATGTCTCCCCAAGAGGCTTTGGGGGGGGGGTTTCTTCCCTCCTGGGCCCTGCGAGACACCGTCTTCCCCATTGGAGGGAGTTGGGGGCTCAGGGAAGTGTCCTGTTAATCATTAAAGCAATCTGAAAGACCACCCTTTGGGCCCTTCCCCCAGCTCAGCCGTGAAACCCAGGACCCCCCTCCCCTCTGCCTCCCCCCCCTCAGTCCCTGCTCTGCTCAACAGCCGGAGATGGGGGGCAAAACTGGCCCTCGGATTCCCAGGGAGCACCTGGCAGGGGCTGGTCTCGGCTGGAAGCTAAGCAGGGTTGGGCCTGAGGTCTCCAGGATTGGATTCCCAAGGCTGCAGGGAGGAATTGAAAAGACCAAGACAGGGGAAGACAATCGGATTGAGAAATTCGGTTCAAATTTTCCAAATGTGCTACAGATAGTCCTTGACTTATGGCCACAATTCAGCCCAAAATTTCTGCTGCTAAATAAGACATTTGTTAAATAAATGTTGCCCCATTTTTACGACCTTTCTTGCCACTTTTTGTTAAGTGAATCCCTGCTGTTGATAAGTTAGTCAGACGGTCGCTGAGTGAATCTGGTTTTCCCATTGACTTTGCTTGTCAGGAGGTCGCAAAAGGGGATCACGTGACCCCAGGACACAGCAAACGTCATAAATACGAGTCAGTTGCCAGAGTCAGAGCAGTATCTGAATTTTCATCAGGTGACCACGGGGAAGCTCAGACAGTCGTAAGTGTGAAAAATGGTCATCAGTCACTCTTTTCAGTGCCGTTGTAACTTCAAACGGTCACTAAACGAACTAAGTCAAGAACTCCCTGTATTTTTGCATCTGCCCCCCTCCCTCTTTCTTCTGCTGTCTTTCCCCCCTCCCCTCCCCCCAAGCCCAAGTGCAGCATCAGCCCAGGAAGAGGGGGGAGGGGAAAGGCGGCAAAAAAAAGAGGGGGGGCATTGCAGACGGTTGGGGGGCTCAGGAAAGATGCCCTCTGCACACTCTCAAAAAAACCCCCCCCCATATTTCTGCTTCTCTCCCAGGCTCTCTTGGGGCTCCCAACACACTCCCCATCACCCCTTGTGGTTAACCTGGAATTAACCCGGCTTTCTGGCAGGGCGCCAAACAGCGGACTCCCAAGCTACCCAACAGGCTGAGTTGGTTCAACAGGTCAAGCTTCTCCTGAGGCTGAGCCAGTTACACACGTGTAGAGGCAGATTCCGAATGTTGCATGTTTCAACAATCCTGCATATAAGCGTGCATTTGGCAGGGTGTCTGTGAAGACTTTGGTTCCCATCCAAGCCAGGTGACTTGTGAGAGACCGCGCGTGTGCGTGTGTGTGTGTGTGTGTGTGTGTAAGGTTTATAGGAAGGGACTCACCCCACGCTGCCTCTCTAAGTCAGAGGATCACCTGGGGACCTGGAGGGGGCAGTGGTGTCTTCCCCTCCCTCTTCTGATGCTATGGTCCAGAGAAAGTCTAGAGAAAAGAAGGACCAGGGGGGACATGATAGCATCTTCCAATAGTTGAGGGGCTGCCCCAAAGAAGAGGGGGTCAAAATATTCTCCAAAGTACCCGAAGGCAGGAGAAGAAGGAACGGGTGGAAGCTGATCAAGGAAGGAAGCAACCTGGAGTTAAGGAGAAATGTCCTGACAGTGAGGACAATTAACCAGGGGAACAGAAGTTGCCACCAGAAGTTGTGGGTGCTCCATCACTGGAGGCTTTCAAGAAGAGACTGGACAGCCATCTGTCTGAAATGCTAGGGGGTTGGACTAGAAGACCTCCAAGGTCCCTTCCAGCTCTATTGTGATTTTAATGGGGAAAGACCGACGGGACCGCATCCCAGCAATCCTCGGGCACCGCCGGCTGCCTTCGAAGCCTTCGCCCTCTCCCTCTTCTTTTCTACCTGCGAACAAAGGAGAGTCTCGGGGACCGAAGCCCAGCGCTGGGCAGGAAGGAGTTAAAGCCCCCCCGCCCCCCACCCAACAGGAAACTGCCTGGCAGGAGGGAGTGTGAGAGAATCCCCTGCCCTCCCCCCTCGCAACGCTTCCCTTCCCACCCCTTTGCCTGCCCCTCCCTCCCTCCTCCCTCCCTCCCACTTTCCCTGCATCTCCCAGCCTTCCAGCTGGAATCTGTTGCTCGCCTTGTCTGGGCTGCAGCCGCCGTGCAGATCCTCTGGACCCCCCTCCCTTCCCCCCTTGACCCCACCCCAAAATCTCCCCCGGCTCCCCATTCTCCCCTCTCCCACCCGCGGACCCTGGGAAGAAAGGGGGCCAGCAGCTCCGCAAGATGTGAGCCCGGGAGAGGCGGAGGCAGGCAGGCAGGCGAGGGGGGGGGCTGCCTTGGCCCCTTCCCCACCCGGGCTGGGAAAGGCGGAGAGGAGCGGAGCGGCGATGGAGGGAAGCAGCGCAGCCCGCCTCGGGGGTCGGTGTCGCGATTGCTAGGGGACCCCCCCCCCGGGCGTTGCGAAGCCTCCGGGGATGGGTCGGAGCGAGAAGCCGGGAGGCGAATTCTTCTGACTCCCGCCCCCTCCCCATCCCTTCCCAAGCCCGCTCCGGACGGTGAGTAATTTCCCTTAGAAGCGGGGCGGGGGGTTCCCACGGGCCCGATCCGCGCGTGGTCTTGGCTCCTGCCGGGGATTAAGTTGGCCAGACTTCTGTGAAAGGTTTGCGGAGGGTCCCGTTTGATTCCTGGGGTGGAGAAGAGAGGAAGCTCGGAGGTGTCTCAAAGCCATCCCTACTCCCCCCCCCGAATGTCTTGGGGAGGGGGAAGATTGGGACCTCTTCAGGGGGCTGCTTCCCCTCCTCTCTGCATTCAGGACTTGGGGGGGGGGCTTAGCTAAGAGGAGCTGCCACTCATCCACATCAGATGGGTGGCCTTTGATTGGAAGGCTAGCTAAGGTGGTAGACTTTGCCCCCCCCCCCCAAGGAATTGCCTGCCCTAGATGGACCTGCCTGGGCCCCTGGGGGAAGGAAAAGATACTTATGGGTGCTCCAAGGAGCACCCCGCACTCTGCCCCCTTCCTTGGCTGTTTCTACTCCTGGGGGGCCAGGAAGGAGAAGGTTAGGATGGATTGTGCACCTCAGGAAGGAAGTTCCTCAAATCTGCAGGGCTGGGATGGGGAACTTTCTCTATGGGGCCTTTGATCTGAGGGGATTCCTTGCAGGAAAGGCCCCTCCTGAGTTGGGATTCCCAGGAATTGACTCCTATCTACAACATTGCCTCCTTGTCATCTGATATCCTGGTGGTCTAGGCCAGGGGTCTCCAACCTTGGCAACTTTAAGCCTGGAGGACTTCAGCAAAACTGGCTGGGGAATTCTGGGAATTGAAGTCCTCCAGGCTTAAAGTTGCCAAGATTGGAGACCCCTGGTTTAGATTCCTGCAGAGCTAGCTAGTTTTTGGAAACCCACCTGAAGATTTAAGAGCGCAGTGTTTGGGGCTGCTAGAAATGGGCTTTGGGGGCTAAAAATACAGGTAGCCCGACTTACGACCACAATTGAGCCCAACATTTCTATTACTAAATGAGACAGTGGTTAAGTGAGGTTTGCCCCATTTTATGACCTTTCCTGCCACAGTTGTTAAGTGAATCTGGCTTCCCCATTGACTTTGCTTGTCAGAAGGTCGCAAAAGGGATCAGATGACCCTAGGGCCGTCATAAATAAAAGCCAAATTGCCCAGCATCTGAATTCTGATCCCGTGATGCTACAAAGCGGTCGTAAGTGTGAAAAATAGTCATAAGGCTCTTTTTTCAGTGCTGTAACTTCTAATGGTCACTAAATGAGCCGTTATAAGTCAAAGACTATCTGCAGACCCCGGAGCTGAGGCTCAGTCCTGCTGGTTCCATTCTTCCACCAAGAAACCTGGGTTTTCTTTTGCAAAAAAACCGTCTGCCTGCCATCCTACTTCTGCACAGCTTCTTGGCTGTGGGCCCCAGCCGGGATTTTCTGTAAATCAGCTTTGTGTAACTCGCTTGGGGCTTACCTTTGGGGGAAGGGGGGGGGCTCCCTTGCCTTGGGGAGGGGAGAGGGTGGAAGGCAGATCTTCGGTGACCCTCGGTGCTCCCAGCTTGGGATGGTCCCCGCTGTTGAATCCAGAGTGAGAAAGTTGGTGGCAATTTTGCAAGAATTGGAAAGAAAGGATCCTGGTTTAAGGCATGTCTCTTCCTCCCAGCCATTGTTCCAAGAAACAGCAGAGAGGGGGAGATTCGGGTTACAAAAATTAAAGGAAAAGGAGGCACTTTATCGGAGTGCCAGTCCTTGGGGAGCTAACCGGGGATTGTGCCCTGGTTTCACTCTTCCGGCCGGGGTGGGTTGCCGATTCTTTGTTTCTGGGATTGAAGTAAAGTTTCTTGGACCTCCGAGCATCCGAAGGGGAGGGGAAGGGCTGTGCCGGACCTTCGCTTTGGAATCTCAGGAATCGCTTTTAGGAAAAGTCCTGGGAATTCGTTGCTTTGCGGCGTTGCTAAGTTGCACGGCATTGGTTTGTTGCTTTAAGAGGAGGGGGGGTTGAGTGGCCCCGAAGACTGTGAGGAGGGGGAGATCCCGCTCTGACTTAGGTCCACAGGTCCTGTGGCTTCCTTCACTTTAGCGGGTGCGGGTGCTGGATGGGAATGGATTTTCGGTGGGGAGGGAAAGAAGAGGGGGCATCCGGTGCCCGGGAGAAGGCTGGTCCTTTCTGGACTTTTTGGGGTGCCTGCTGATGGGAGGGGAGGGGGACTGGGAAACAAAGAGACCCGAACGACTGGCAGGAAGAGGCGTGGAGAGTCGGCCGAAGTGGGCGCGAAGGGGTGTGGCAAAACCTGGAATTTGGAAGAGGGGGTGGCGTGGCTGCCAGGTGGGCTCCCTGAGAAGCCGAAAGGGGGCAGGACCACCAGGTGGCCCACCCTCTTTGGGCAAGCTCTCCTTCCTTTCCTCCTCCTCCTTTGGCAGGCTTGATGCTGTGGGGCTGGCGAGGGGCTTGCTTGCAACTCTGTGGGCCTAGGACTGAAGCCTTCCTTGCCGGATTCCTTTCCCTGAAGGCCCCGCAGTCCGCAGAGGCTCAGAGGTGCAGGTAGTCCTCGATTTAAGGACCATAATCAAGCCCCAAATTTCTGTTGTTAAGTGAGACATTTGTTAGGCGAGTTTTGCTCCATATTTATGACCTTTCTTGCCACGGTTGTTAAGTGATTCGGGCTTCCCCATTGACTTTGGCTTGTCAGGAGGTCGCAAAAGGGGATCCCGAGACGTTGCAACCGTCATAAATGTGAGCCGGTTGCCAAGTGTTTTGAGTTTTGATCACGTGACCCCTGGGATGCTGCCACGGTCGTAAGTGTGAAAAATGGTTATGAGTCACTTCTTTCAGTGTTGTTGTAACTTTGACAAAGTTGGAACTTCTCCGTAATAAATCCAGTCAGCCCAAGGAGCATTGAATAACAGAATAAGAGTTTGGAAGGGACTTTTGAGATCTTCTAGTCCAGCCCCCTGCTCAGGCAAGAGACCCTCGACCATTCCAGACAAGCGTCTGTCCAGACTCTCCTTAAAAGCCTTTGAATGGCCACTAAGCGAATGGTTTGTAAATCGAGAACTGCCTGAACTGTGAACCAGCTGTAAAGAAGCCGAAGACCAACAGCTTCATGATCTGCTCGTGATCTCCTGGGATCTTCCGATCTGATCCAGCAAGGCAGACGAACAAGAGAATCCAGATTTTCTTCGGATACCAACCGCAGGTTCCGGAAGAGGAAGGCAGGCAGCAAAACTCACCTCCACGCAGTGTTGGGAGGGTGTTTTTAATGCCAGACGGACACATGTGCGATGTGTTGCTGTAGTCGGACCAGAGGCTGGAGACTAGCTGAGATTCGTGGTTTATGAGTGGGGAAAAAAATCAACCCGGCACTAATTTAACTACCAGCATTCGGGTCAAGTTGCTTGACCCGTCTGAGGATCTGGCCTTGAGACCCCTGGTTGGCTTTGAGGCCGGCACTTCTGGCTCAGCTGTTGCCGGCAATTCTGGTGAAACTCCCTTCTTTGGAAACCCCCCCCCCCCAAATGGGCCTGTTCTGCTTGGGTCCTGATGACCCTCGGTGGGGGTAGGAGAAACGTTTGGTCCTTATTGTTGGAGACGTTTCTTTTGATGGGAAAAACAGAATGACAATAGGAAAATAACAGAGTTGGAAAGGGCCCTTGAGGTCTTCTAGTTCAGCCCCCTGCTCGGGCAGGAGACCTGGCTGAGGAATTCTGAGAGATGAAGTCCACAAGTCTTAAAATTCCCAAGGTTGGACACCCGTAGTCCATACCACTCCAGACAAATGGCTGTCCAGGGTCGTCTTCAAAGCCTCCAGTGATGGAGCACCCACAATTTCTGGAGGCAAGAAGTTCCACTGGTTAATTGTCCTCACGGTCAGGAAATTCCTTCTTAGTTCCAGAGAATTGCTTCTCTCCTGGATGAGTTTCCATCCCTTGCTTCTTGTCCTGCCTTCAGGGGCTTTGGAGAATAGGGTGACCCCCTCTTCTTTGGGGCAGCGGTAGCCCCTCGAATGCTGGAATATTGCTCTGTTCCAAATCAGGCTGTGGAATTGGAGGTTGTTCCCAGTTAGAGACTGGATAGGATTTGGGGTGCTCATAACTTTTCCTTTACATTTCAAATGAAGATGTGTTCATACCGGGCCGTGCTGCCTATGGAACAGCCCGCCACTGGGACGAGGAAAAGCAGGGCTGGGACAGGGATCTTCCAAAACCTCCTTTCAAAAATGGTTCAGTTCTCTTGAGTTGTGCAATCGATCCTCACAATAAAGGAGGATATTTGTGGCTCAGGTTTGAAATGAGGGGTGCTTGCTAGAAGAAGTGGAGTTTGCAGGGAGGAGGAGGAGGAAGAGGAAGAGGAGGACAACCACTGGGGGGTCCTTGGCGCTCTCTGAGCTTGGTGGTTTTCTTGCAGACGTTTCATGACCCAACTAGGTAACTTCATCAGTGCCAGTAGTAGAAATTCTGCAACCAGCTTGAAAGGATGGTAGGGAGAATGTCGGAGGTGCCCCTTTTATTGTCCAACTTGGGAGGAAAAAAAAATAGGAATGCAGCAGCCACAGTTGAATCCTGAGTCTTGGCAGCTCCTGGATTCCAAAGGCAGAAATTCCTGTGAGATTCCTGTCTTTCCGCACCAACTTGATTCCAGCTGACAGAGGGAGATTTTTTTTTTTTTTTGTTTCTCGACTAATCCAGGACTGTCTTTCTCCTCCTTCCACAGCCTGTTTTTCTTTTCTTTCTTTGTTTCTGGCCCTCACCCTCCCTCCCTCCCTCCCTCTTTCTTCCTAAAAAGCATCAGCTGGAAAGTCCCGGGTTCAGATTTCACCGGGAGTGCTCCCGCCTGGGAATTCTAGAAGAGGAACAGCAACACCTCGGGGGGGGGGGGGGAGAGGTGGGCACTGAATTGGGGAAAGGATGGTGGGTTCAGTTTAAATAAAGGCCTCTTTCAGGGACTCCTGGAGAGCCTTGAATTCAACATCTGCTGCTCCATGCAGGAATCCAGATGGAAAATCCTGCTTGAAGGCGGTCAGCGAAGGGAGCCCATCACCTCTCATTGGGGTCAC